TCTTATTGCGAGTTTAATTTTTTCCTAGTAATATTTTATATTTTTGTCAAAGAATAATTGGGGTCTTAATTATATGTTCTATCTTGATTCATTTTTCTTTTGTTGTTTATGGTATACCAGTTTTAATCTTCTTAAGAAAAAGTATTGTCTTCAAAGTCAATTTCTATGTTTAGGTCATCTATTCTATAAAGTCTTATTTTATTCATTGCCACTTTCTTCCCTTTCACCATGAATATTTTACTCAGGTTGTTTTGAATTTTGTTCTGCAAGTCTTATTTTTCTTCAACTTGATTACTTCAGGTGTAGTTGACTCTTTTTGTATAAATATTTCTTATTATTTCTATTGTTATATCACTATTATATATATTTATTTGTAAAGTTATTAGAGTTGAAAAAATGGTTACTTTATATGAGATAGTTTGTTTCACAGTAGGTTTTTTTCATTTTTTGCACTTTTTTGCTTATAGGAATAAACTTGTTCCAAATGTGTTTATTGATGTTGTAGTTTAACATACTATTAAAATATTGTGCTCTTTTGATTTTCTTTATTTTCCAACTGTTTTTTGTATTCTTAAAGTTTTTGTTACTGCTCCATAGGTAAACAGGAGAGAGTTGATATTCAAAAAAAATATTAAAAATAGAATAAATATTAATATATAATATATATAAATTTTAGATCTGTGAATCTATAGTCTAGGACTTGTGAATCAATAGTACAGTGAAAGCACTCCCAAGTTACCATCCATGAGTTCCTGGTTCAATCTCACTTTAGAACAATTCTTACATATAGGTTACATTGTAAAAGATGTATGCTAATCAATCATATGCCCTCTTGTACTCAACAATCTATCAGATTCCAATATCTAACCACAGTATTATAAATTAGATCATACAGGTTCTGATCAGTTTTAGTACTAGGATAAAGAAGTCTTAATATCCTGCTACCAGAATATATAAAGATATCAAGAAATATCAGGAAAGATAATAATTGACTCACAATCTTATTGGTTTTATATAGAATCTACCTCTTCTCAAAAATTCCTGTCTTATGAGAGACTGAGAGACTTCGGTCATCTGCAACAGTTACAAAAAGTAAAGAGCTGGATAATATGGGAGATCTTAGATCACTAATCATCAATGGCTATCAGAAAGAAACCTTATGGGTGGCCAATAAGGAGTAATGAACAATCATAATAGAGTAAAAACCATATTTTAAGAGGAGTTAAGAATGGTTATTGGAAGACTTCAGTTGTCAATCTGGCTTATCAATGGCTGCTAAGAAACTAAACTTGGGACCATATAGAGAATTAAAGACATTAATGAATAGTCAGCCTCTGAGGACAGAACATGATATAAGGATATCTTAAAGAATAAATCCTTCATATATGGAAGACAGGTGCCACACAAAATAAACACATCTTAAAAATAGCTCTCGAATAAAGAAAAAGTTTTCTAGTGAATTCCTAGAACATTATGAGTACCTTGATATAGCAGGAAAACTGACAAGATAGTATCCTTTTCAGGTAAAATCTAAGAGTGGTTTGAATAGATTAGGATAGTATAAATTAGCTATAAGAATTGCTCTTATAAAATAAGCTATATAATTCTAAAAAAAATCTGATCAATAAATCCCAGTCAATACAATTAATTAAAAAAAAATCAGTAGTATAGTATTAGTATTTCAGATTATTAAGTATTATTATTAGGTTTAATATCATTACAAGAAGTACCACTTAAGTCTAGATAATACAAGTAGATCTTATCTATCCTATAATAATAATTTGGTTACTTTCGACCAAATTTCCATATGATTAAAGAAAATCTAATAAAATTACAAATTACTTTAATTGGTATGATAACTTAGAAAAGAAAAACCATCGGAAAATCTTAAACTAGCAAAAATTTAAAAGAACTAAGACATTGATAAGCATAAAGTACTTGATAGATAAGTAGATATGGTATATAATAAATTATATTTTAATCCCTAGTGCAGAATACCTATGCAATAACATAATTCTGTCAGAAAAGATTTGTAACCTACTCATTAATAACATTACTGTGACTTTTAAGCATAAGCTAGGCTTGGCAAGAATAATTCTTAACAATATACTCTTCAATAAATATGAATATAACTTAATATATCTTTGAAATAGACAACTTTTCTTACATACTACCAATTGAACAAACAGAATCAGCAAAAGAAACATGGCAGGGAAAATAGCAAGATCTAAGCTACAAATATTATAAAATAAATTTTGATCAATAAAGCCAGTCTTAAACAAAATAATATATCTATGAAAAATCCTTGAAAAAAGTTTAAGACATGATATTGTCTGGCTAATAAAAGGATATGACTTTACTTTTGAAATAAAAAAGAAAACTGAAGGCTTCACACTTATTTAAGAAATAGATACTACTATTGAGAATATAATGAACAAATACTTCTATACCAAAAACTGACAAAATCTGTAAAGATATAATATCTTTTTCATCAGACAGCTACTAAATGTAAATAAATCCAAAACATCAAAATGATATCAGATTATTAGATTAGACAAGAAAACAGTTTCAGACCCAATACTCAGATGATTTTTTACAGTCAGTAACAAGATAACAACAATAATAAAATAAAAAGAAATTTTTATTCCTAAATACCAACAAATATCTTTAAACAAAAAGATTTGATAACAGAACAGAGTATAATCAAGCTCCACTAAATATATATATAAAAAACAACTAATTTTATGATTGGGAAGAAATAGTAAAAAATAGATCAAAATATAATTAGATATAGACACTTTATTCAAAATTCAGGAAGTTTTTCCCTAGAAGCTTACAAAGTATATGAATTAATATCTTAAACACCAATCAAGAAAAGGGTAACTTCATATTATTCAAGTAATCCAAAAGGTTAAAATATTAACAAGGAAAAACAATACAAATAAAAAAAAAAACAGCATGAAGAAATAAAGTCTCTCCAAACTCCTTCACTATAACTTTTATATTACTTACTTAAACAAAATCCTTTCTGATAATAAAGGACAATAGAGAAGTGAAAATATTAACAAGAATACAAATCAGAACTAGTATACAAGAAAAGATTTTTTACATTTCAATAGAGGCCATAGAAACATTAGAAACAATTAAAAAAAAAATAGAAAATATATAATTTTCAAAATTTATATTGATAGCTTTTTAACAAACATTAATGATAAATTCTACATAGGTCTAAACTGTGTTATAATTATATCTGATCATAATAAGCATATTTTTAAGGAACAAATTAAAAGATCAAGATTGAAATAGTGGCTATTTTAATGATACTTAACATTTTGCCAGAATGCAAATGGCAAATATTTATATTGATAGTCAAGTAGCTATTAATAGGATAAAAAAGATTAAAAAAAAAACCAATAGTAAAATCATGAGAAAACAAAAACCTTCTATAAATTAAAGCCAATGAAAACAAAGAAGATTCAAGATAAAGTTTTATAAAATAAAAAGTTATTCAGGGATATAGTACAATAAAATAGCAGATTAGTTAGCTTGAATAGATTTTTGGCAAGACATTAAATCTAGAAAAAAAGAAATAGAAGTATTAAGAATAGAAAATCTAGAGATAGGAATAATACTATAATAGAATAATATCTTTACTAAAATTTCTATAAAACTTATCACACAAAAATAAATAAAAGTAGTTTACTTGATTAAATGGTATCTTCTAAACAAAATCAGATACAATTTAAATAAGAAACTATTCAAAGAAATTAATAATTGAAAAAAATATTAAGTAATATTTATTTTAAAAGTTTGAATTTCTTAAAAAAATATTTATAATATCAAAAGATTAAAATATGAATAATATAAAATAAAAATTTTTATTTTTTTTTTTAAGTTCTTAAATAGTAACAAAGTTTTAATAACAAAAGTCAAGATTTGAATGCTTTTTTTGAAATGTTTTAATTAAGTACTTACTTAAATTAAAAATTGGTTAAATTGATTAAACTGATATTATAAGTGATGACAAAAAGGGTTTTTTAAGACTTAAAAAAGCAAAAAAACTATTCTAATTAAGTATATTTTTTTGAGAAAAAAATTGATTTCTTTTGAAGTTTTTTAATGAAATTGTGAATTGTTTTTTTTTTCAATCTTTTTTTTTCTTTAACTTAATAATTTATAATTTATGGATAATTTATAGCAAAAATATTTGATAATAAATTAGTGAATAAAGATTTTTTTTAACAATTCTTTAGAAGAATAAAATATTGTATTCTAAATCTGATTTAGAATACTTCAATATAATAATAAGTTGGTTATTATATAAAAAATTTGTAATATTATAGATAATTATATAAACTTCTCAATATATATTAAATCATATAGTATATTAAAAGTTCAAAAAATAATTTTTTTGAAAAAATATTTATTAAGTATTAATAGGTATCAACTTTATAATTAATTATAATTCTCAATAGTTTAAAATAGTTAATACAATAATTATAGTAAATATAATTTGGGTCATTAAAGTTTAAATTTAACTTTATTTATAGTTTGAAAATTTTTACCAAAATAATTTTTAAAATAAATATTTTGTAATAATTATATTTTAATGTAATTAATTTTTTTTAAATTATTAATAATTAATAATTGTTTATGAAGTTTTTTTATTAAAAAGTTAAGTATCTGTTATTCAAGTTTCAATATACTAAAGTTTTATAATTTCATTTACCTTTAGCTTATAAATTTTTATATTCTGATCAAAAAAAAATTTTTAATTAATAATCAAATATTTAATTCAAACATATCAAGCAACACTTCAATTCTCGAAATCGAATCTTCAATGAAAGATTTTATATCAAAGACAAAATGAAAACTGAAAAAAGTTACATTCACTTCTTTAACAGACACTTATAAATTGAATAAAATGAGAATGTAATTTAAAATACAATAAGATACATAGTATATTATGAAACACAGAATCAATATGACGCAATTCTGTCTCAAGCAATTCTTATTTCGACATTTTCACTTTCCTTAGGAAAAACCGATGATTCGCTATCCTCCAGCAAAAATTCGAATTCGTCATTCAACATCGATGAATTCACGCTATTATTCGCGTTTTTGTGAGCATCAACAACATAAGCGAGTTGAAATTTATGTGCAGATGGTGATGACACCACATCCACGCCAGAATCTTCAGAGTCCTGTTCTTCAATTTGTTGCGGTGATCGCGATGGTGATGGTGACGGATAATTCCATTGGTTCTTGTCGTCGCTGGTATTTGTGAGAATGTTTCGTGAGTATTTCAATAATAAGTGACAGAAATTCATCCTCATATAATCCTTACGCAAGATTGATTCATGCTTTTAATATCATTACTCACCTCTTATTCAAACAACCGTAATACTGTTGAATAATTTCTTCCCAATCTCTCATCTCCAATAGTCCTTTATTTCCATACGCCTTGATTATGGGTATATGATCATCTCCCCATGCCGGTACAAAAAAGTCCAACTTTCGATCTTTTCTTACGCTCAACCTTCGTTTACAGCTCCGCAAGAAATACTCTAACGCAGTTTCGCCAAATTCCCAGTGAGCAAACATCAAAAATTCGTACAAGTTTTTGGGATATACGTTCGCCATCTCAATCATCACATCACTAATATCTATGGTATTCGTTTCGGATGTATCTTCGCCTGCTGAATCGCCGTCTAACCAACACACACTATTGAGTCTCGGACATGAGGCAAATAAATAGGGTAAACGGTGCACAGCTTCGTTTGGTATGAATACACGTAGTTCTTTAAGGTTTGGGCAATTCTCGGCTATGCTATTTACTAATTCGACACTGTGTTCAGTTCCAAACGCCCGTTCGTATTCCAGGTAAACGTCCACAATCTGTCCACCAGTGTTTTGTATTAACATTGCGATCTGATCCAAGTACAACTTTTGGGTGTTTATGTGCAATACTTTGAGTTGAGTGAATTGGGTTTTGCAGATTGATTCGAATGTTGAACTTGAAATTAATTGATTCAAATGAGAAATTTTCAAATCAACCAGGTTAACACAGTCTATGAATATTTCTAATGGTACAGGAATTTTGTAGCATAAATTTACTGTTTTCAATGATCGAATGTGCTGTTTTAAGGCATTGGCAATTTCTGGTAATTCACAATTCTTTTGATCAGCAGCGAAAATTATAATCTTTTTTAATTCTTTCTGAGATTTGATGAGTTCGGCGAATAATTCGTCATCTTCTCTGTCCACTGGTTGAATCTCCAAATCCTTAATGCTTCTTGACACCCGTGAAAAACCCACACAAAAGTCTATTGGAATTGAATCCTTCACAGAAAATCTATCGAGGGATCTTAAGCATATTTCAGCGCTTGGAAGGTCAGTTATTGTCAAATAGTTTGGTGCCAATCCATAGTTTATTAAATTTTCCCACTTTTTACACGAGACCGATTTTAGATTCGTAGTGCGAATGAAAAATAATTTGGTTAACTCTTCAATGATCAGATAATGTTTTCGAGTGGAGCGTATGCTAGTGACTTGAGATTGGTTTAGCCATACAGCCACACAGTCAAACAATAACTTATAATCGAGACTTTGCAGGAATGAGGCATAGTCATAAGTGGGTCGAAGTTTCCCAATGGTAGAGTTAAACGAAATTTCGTGTGATTTCAGCAAAGATATGGAGTCATCGGTTAAACATGAAATATATATTTGGCCAATCAAGGAGACTTTAATCCATTCTGGTTGAGTCTTTGGGTCAGAGTATAAGTGCTCCAGGGGAGTTGACCATAGCAGAGGAACAACGTTTGCACAGAAAACACGGCTGCTCAAAAGGCACGAGTGTAATGTTCGCATATCAGAGAATTCAAAGATTTTTCTCAGGATTTCATTAGCAAAGATTACAGGCATGTTTAAGTCAAACAAATACAGCGAATTATGTTCTCGAGATAAAGTAATTGAAGGGAAAAAAAAAATTTTTTTTTAACGTACATATGCGTATTGAGAATTCTTTTTGTTGGGGTCTTATGCACTTTTAAGTATGACAGTAGCACATAACATAATTTATTACCAAAACTGGTGTGAATTAATCAAGAGGATTCGACCACCTATTTTGGTTAGTAAAATGTTTTAAGGTTAATACTTCTTAAATAAAAAACTTCAATTTACGGCATTATTATTATATTTGACGACCATTAATGCATATTGAGATTAAATTTGTATATATTAATACGTTATTTCATCTATTTTACTTTTTTATTCTATTCTATTTCACCTCACGATTTTTAAGTTATATCAGTGATAAATTTATTTCAACTATTTAAAAATCTGGCATATAATTATTAAAACAACAATAAATCAAACAAAATCAAACAATTTTTTATATTAAATTAATTATTGAAATTTAAAATTTATCTTTAAAAAAGAATTTTTTTTTTTTATGATATATTATTTTTTATGTATTATTTATTAATTAATTATATATTACAATTAATATTATATCGAACCATTATCCGAATCTTAACTTTTCTAGTATTTTTTAATATTAAAAAATAATATATGGTTGCTTCCAAAAGTTTGAGTCCACTTACTATGTTTTTATTATAAATTTCAACTTTGACAATTTTTAAATC